TGGGTAAAAATCATGTTTCACACTACAGGGTTCTTTTCCCTCTCTTTTCTCTTTGCAACTATTTTGTCCCCCAAGGCAGTGACTATGTACAATTAATTGTTTTAGCAGCATTTGGTCTGGTTAATATCTAAATGGGAGACCTTTTCAGGAGCATTTACATTAGCAGAAAATGTGGCATATATTGGTGCCTGGGCATATATTGCTGTTTCAGCAAATAGCATGCCTTCCCCTGAGCTACAGCTGACTCCAAGTTGGAAGGCATTGGAGCAGACTGCCCTTTTTCACGAAAACAGGTGGATTCAGCCCAAGAAACTTCTTTAATCCTATCAAAATTCTACTTGTTACTTCAGCTGACTACAAGACGGCACTTGTCTTCCTAGGACTCAGCCCTGCACAGCACTTGGTGTCAACGGGAAGGAAAAGGCACTAAGTGCTTTACTAAATCTGTCATCTTGCTTATGTCTCTGAAATGATACAGAGTAGAAAGAGAGAGGTTACAGATAAAATCAAATGTAAACTGAGTGAAGTTAGAAGTGTTCCCAAAATGAATACCCAGCCTCTTCCTTTGTATAAAACCAGTGTAAGGCTAAAACATACCACCAACCATTCAAATTACAAAGGGCATATTTTCTATCAATAAAACAACACTGGTAAACTAGGATAAGGATGCAAATTATTTAGTCAAATTAGTAAGCAAAATCCATCTTTTCCTTTACTTTACTGATGAAAAAAAAATTATAGGTTGCCATGAAGATCAGGAAGTAATTATAAATATGCATTTGGTTTTAATTAAAAGCCTTCATGCAAATTCTGTCTTCCTACATTCTCTACCATTATCACTGCTGACAAAGGCATCCCAACCCAGGAAATACTTTCCTAATAAGTTTCCTTTCTTTGGAGCTGTGCTGTCTGCCAACAGACACAAGCACAAACTTGCCCATTCTCCAGAGAGAGCGGTTTTGTTTGTATAGTATATTTTCATTATAAAGCAATCAACTCCTTTCCACACAACCCCCAAAAAATTGATGAAGGAAAGAGTAACCTCTTCCTCCAGAGTGATAACATGTTGCTACCTTCTAAACTCCAGTATAGCTTATCTACTCCTCCCCATCTTTGTTTTCAAAGGCCTTTGCAAAGGTATTTCTCAGCTCCCAATCAGTATGGGAAGCTCTGTTCCTGTCTCTGCTGAGTCCACAATGCTATTCCCCTCCCACACACTTGATTTCAAAAGAAGCTGGTTCATGCTTATCCTAAGGTGTGCTTCCATTGCAATGCTACCTCTTTTAATAGAGCACTTTGTTGTGATGCCCTTCAAAAACAAAATAAAAAGACAAACCAAAACAACTACACAATACTTAGGCAGCCACTGGGCTATGATTATAGCCTACCATTCTAACCAGAATTGCCTCCCTATTTCCTTGCCATTTTGTTTCTGTACCTTGTGTTGTCTCTACTTAAAAACCCTTCAGGTCAGGGACTTATTTCTTTTTCCTCTTCATATAGCACTTACCATGAAGAGGACCCTAATTTATCACCCAGTTTCCTACATGCCATCCCAATGCAAATAAATATAATAATGACGTGTCATCAACCAAGCAGATCTCTAATTCAGGCAGGGCAGACCCATACTACTTTGATTTAATTTGCAGTTTAGTCCTAGAGCTGGAGGGGTTGGTATCATTGGCTTTGTTATAAAGCTTCTGTTTTAAGTGATGTTGCTGTGTCACAGTACTGCATTTCCTGCAAATTAGAGTCATTTATCAAAACCATTTTTATGTTAGCATTTTATTCTGTCACTGCATGAAGATTTCAAACACAAAAAGACAGCATTTAGCCTAACAATATAAAAGGACATAAATATATCCGAATAGGGAGCATGGCTGTATGGTCAGTATTTGTTAAAAATACTAATATCATGTCCAGTTGTAGTCCACTCCACTAAAGTAGACTGAAATTTTGGATGGGGCCAAATTCCTTTCCCTTGTATGGGCAGTTCTGTTGTCTGAACTCCAGTTGCATCATTAAGAGGAGAGCAATTTATCTAGCTGAAAGCTATGTGGAATCATTTGATGTCCAGTACTGTGGGAACTTCTTTCACAACAAACAGTCTGAGGTTCATATTTATTCAATTTTATTCTTTTAAATTCTTGAAATTTACAGTAAATTTCTGAAAGTTTTTTATAGTTAGTCTTAATATTTTTTTTCTGTGCTTAGATAAGTGCAGAGAATTGCATTCACTAGGAATGAGCATCTCAGAGGTCTGACAGCTGAATATAGTGTTTGAAATGAAGACTAGCAGACCATGTGTAAACACAATTAAAATGAATGTCAATGGCATGTGTTCTGTGTTTCTCAGGGGAAAAATCCTAATATTTTCCTAAGTGGAAAAAGTTTTCCCCTCTATAGAAATACGCTCTGATGAGCCAAAAACTATCAATAATGCTTCAACAAAAAAGTCTGATTTAGTCTTTTTCATGATGATTTCTCCACCATGAAAAGAATAAAAACATAAGTTTCCCAGGATAGTGGGTTTTTTCAGCATGAAATTACCTGTCCTGTCCACACAGCATTTCAAAGCATAATTTTTTTCTTTCCTTTTAGTTTTTTCTTCTCTTGCAACTCCTTTCTCTTGCTATTCACTTCACATTAGCTAACTAAATTTCTTACAAGCTAATAC